GCCTGGTAGGTCTGTCCTGGACCCTAGAGGGCTGTGCCTTCCCTGATACCCTGTGCCCTGCCCTGCCTGTGAGTGTAGAGCTCTGGGGGCCACACCTGCCATCATCTCAACACTGGCTGACAGACACGGGCCAAGGTGGGGGATGCTGATGCCCTTCTCCGCTCCCCTAGAGTGGACTGCTCGGGGAGGAGGGTGGCCAGCTCAGACGTGGACGGAGTCATCAAAGTGTGGTCCTTCAACCCCATCATGCAGACCAAAGCGTCCTCCATCTCCAAGTCCCCACTGCTCTCTTTGGAATGGGCCACCAAGCGGGACAGACTGGTGAGTGGTGCTGGCCTCCACGGACAGCTGGGCTATCCAGGGTGGTCTGAGGTGGAGATTGTCAGGGGAGCCCTGCAGGGGGTAGTGTGAGGCAGAGGATTCTTGGTCCCTCACCAGTTGCTCTGGTGCTCAGGGGGCACCCTAGAGGGAGTGTTCTGAGGTGGAGGATTCTTGGGTCCCTCACCTGGCCCCCCACCGGTTGCCCTGGCACTCAGGGAAGCCCTGCACGACTCTCTGGTGCTGAGAAGAGGCAGCCGAGCTGAACGCCCTCCCTCGTTCCCTCACTGGGGGCCGGCCTCCAGGCTGACCCAGTGCGTTCGTGGTTTAGGGCAGCAGCACAGCGTTAGAGCTGGATTCAGAAGAACCGTTAAAGCTGTCGGATGGCAGACGATGCACCCCCCCCACCATGTGGTCTGGCCTGCTCTTTGGTCTGCCCTGGGGGGACTTCCTTGCTCTGCATCCTTAGCCCTGTCATCTGTCCCATCACTGGTGTCCTCAGCATGCCCCTTCCCCTGCTGGCTCCCTCCCTGCACCAGGCCCAGAGAAACGGGCCTGAACGGACATAGGATGGGTGTCTGGGGTGCCCATGGGTCAGCTTGCCCCTAACGATAGTACCGTGCTCCTGTCCCCAGTGGGCTTGAATCTTTGCTGTACGGTTTGTACCTAAGGAGATAAACATCGGTGCATGGTTCCCCCTTCCAGAGAGTCACCCTGTGGGGCCCGGGCCATAGCCTGCTTCTCTGTCCCTTTAGGCAGCGGAGGGGGCTCTCGTGGTGGCGTTAATCTGCCATCTGGTGCTCCAGTGTTACAGCTGACTGCATGCATGGGGTGACCTTGCTAGCAGCCCGGGGTGCCCCCAGCCCTGGGCTGCCTCTGCTGCTTTCTTCTCGTGCGAGGTGTTGCTCTCAGAGGCTTTTCACCTTGTCGGGCACAGGTTCCTGAAGGCAGCGTGCTGCTGCTGTGGTGTGGGATGCCGTTAGGAGCTGTGGCCAGAGCTGTCTGTAGAGCCACAGTGATGGGGCCCACGCGCTGAGAAAGGAGGGGCTGAAGCAGCAGGGCTTTAACGTGGAGAGAAATGGGGTGGGGGTGGGGAAGGACACGGGAGGCCCTTTAACCAGCCCGGCCATGTCCAGGTCATGCTGGGATGGTGTCCCTCTCCCCTGGCGCCTGCTGTGGTTTGTGCTTTGTTCAGACTCCGTCCTGGTGTCCGTGTTGAATCTAGGTCCCGCTGCACGCATGCCTGGATTAGCAAGGACAGCTCTGCACCCTCACGGTGGTCCCCTCTAATGCCCTGCACCCATCCCTCTCCCTCCAGCTTCTCCTGGGCAGTGGTGTGGGTACCGTGCGCCTTTACGACACGGAAGCCAAGAAGAACCTCTGTGAGATCAGCATCAGTGATGACATGCCCAGGTGAGCAGAGCCCCTGTGGGGCTGCGTGCTGGGGGCGTGGCCACGGCTGTGTGCTGGGGGCGTGGCCCTCCCTGACCCCTTTGCCCAGCTTCAGCTGAATCCAGCCCAGAGCTGAGCGTGTCCCGTCTCTGACCCGGCCCACCTGTATTACAGAATCCTGTCCCTGGCCTGTAGCCCCAATGGGGCCTCTTTTGTCTGCTCGGCCGCGGCTCCAAGCCTCACCTCCCAGGACGTGTCGGCACCAGACCTCGGTGGCAGGGGTGTGAACCAGGTCCCTGGCAAGCTGCTGCTGTGGGACACGAAGACCATGAAGCAGCAGGTGGGGCCTGTTTGTCTCAGTCAGCATCCTCCGCAGTGTCGCCCTGTTCGTTTTTATCCAACTCTGGGCCATTCTTACACTGTCCTTTCTGGTTTTCCTGCTGTCTGATCTCTCCTGCCTTCTGGACCTTCAGTGAGCTCGCTCGAGCTGCTCCTGATCTCCTTTGTGTCTCACTTTGCTGCGTGTTCTTGATGGTGGTCTCTTCGGTCTGCCTTCCCTTTGTTGAGCCTCTCCTCAGCCGTATCTGGTCTTCTCTTCAATCTGCCCAGGAGGATGTTAGTCAGTTACTGTGTTTTCATTTTGAGAAGCTGAACTTTGTTTTCTCAAACCTGCTTTGTCATGTTTAGTCTTCCATTTGTACCATGTTTTCAGTTCCTTCTGTTATTTCCTTGAACGTATTTGTGGGTGGTAGTGCTGGTGGTGTTAGTTCTTGGTGTTGTCAGTTGTGTGCTGCTGGGTGGTGGTGCTGGTATTGTCAGTTGTGTGGTGGGTTGTTGTTAGTTGTGTGGTAGGCGGTTGGTGGTGTCAGTTGTGTGTGGTGGGTGGTGGTGGTTGTCAGTGTTGTTAGTTGTGTGGTGGTTGTTGGTGGTGTCAGTTGTGTGCTGCTGGGTGGTGGTGCTGGTATTGTCAGTTGTGTGGTGGGTTGTTGTCAGTTGTGTGGTAGGCGGTTGGTGGTGTCAGTTGTGTGTGGTGGGTGGTGGTGGTTGTCAGTGTTGTTAGTTGTGTGGTGGTTGTTGGTGGTGTCAGTTGTGTGCTGCTGGGTGGTGGTGTCAGTTGTGTGTGGTGTGTGGTGGTGGTTGGTGTTGTCAGTTGTGTGGTGGCTGATGGTGGTGGTTATTGGTGGTGTCAGTTGTGTGCTGGTGGGTGGTGGTGGGGTCAGTTGCTGTCAGTCGGTTCTGATGCACCGTGACCCCATGTGTGCAGAGTAGAACTGCTCTGTGGGGTTTCTAAGGCTGTGACCTTCTGAAGCAGATTGCCGGGCCTTCCCTCTGAGACACCCGTGGCTGGCTTTGAACTGCCCACCTTGTGGGCAGTAGTCAGCACTGAACTGTTCGCACTGTCCAGGGACTGCATCTGCCTGGTGAATCCCACACAGAAGTCTGTGGATCTGATTTTGCTCTCTGCTGTTTCTCAGGCCGTTTCTATTTTTCTCCCCCTTGTCCCCTGTGTGTTGTAAGATTTAATTATGGGTTTGTGTTCCTTGGACCTTTATCTCTGGGAACATTTTGAGACTGAAGTTGAAGGTAGACTTTTTGGCGAGAAGACTAGTTCACTTCTCCAGTCCCTGAGGGCACTACCACCTCCTGACAACTTTACAGTAAGCTGTTACTTGAGTCTTCTCAGACCCCACAGTGACTGTGGCTTTGGGTTGTGAACACACATGAGGGCGGGCTTGTGGTTCTGAATTGTCAGAGGGCCCCAGGGTTCACAGAGGCCAGTGTCCTTGGCGTCCCTTTGTGTGAAGTGGGTTTCGTTCTGGTTTATTTTGACACTGAGGGCGTAGCCCTTGGGGTCCCAGGTTTATGTGGAGGCATCTTATCAGACAGCCCATGTCCCCAGCCCCCAAGCTCCTGACGGCTGCCGGAGTGGACGCTAGAACCCACTGGTCCGTGGGACTCTGCCCCCCTTCGTTTTTGCTCTCGGAGGAGGGTCCCTTACTTGCCAGCTCAGTTGTGTGTGAGGTGGGTGTGTGTGTGTGCGCACATGTGTGTGTGTTTTTTTTTTGCTCTCGGAGGAGGGTCCCTTACTTGCCAGCTCAGTTGTGTGTGAGGTGGGTGTGTGTGTGTGCGCACATGTGTGTGTGTTTTTTTTTTGCTCTCGGAGGAGGGTCCCTTACTTGCCAGCTCAGTCGTGTGTGAGGTGGTGTGTGCGTGTGCACACGTGTGTGTGTATTTTAGATAACATTCCGTATTCGGCATATTTAGTTTCCATCTGGAGGGTTATTTAGGGTTCCCAGTCTCCCACGTTGCTCAAATTGAAGTTCTTGATTGATTTTCAGTCAGTAGGCCCTGAGTTCTGTGATGTCCTGGAGAAGGACCTCACACTTGAAGCAGAGGGTCAGCGGAAAAGGGGAAGACCCTCAGCGAGATGGACTGACACGGTGGCTGCACCGTGGGCTCACGCACAGCAGGGCCGTGAGGCTGGGGCCGGGCCGGGCAGTGTTTCCTTCTGTTGTTCCTGGGTCGCTGTGTGTCAGAGCCACCTCCACGGCTCCTGACGACAGCAAGTCCTATGAGGTCAGGGACCATGTGTTTTGCCTGCCACTGTGTTTCTGGCAGCTAGCACAGTGCGTGGCACGTAGCCAAGAATCAACAGACAAACAGTATTTTAGCCACACTGTAGCTTTGTGTGAGTGTCCTTGTGGGAAGACATTGAGCTGAGTGGGATGGGCGCAGGCAGTGTGTGACCCATGGAGACGGCACGCCTCATGACTTAGATCACACGTGAGGAAGGCAGGCAGTGCATCATTGTTTCCTGCCAGGAGCCTGGCCTTTCACTCAGCATTATCATGGAATACACGCTAAGAGGTGGAGGGCTCGTGTGGAGAACCGTCACAGGCTGCTGCTGTCTGGGGGCCGGCCGCCAGCCCCGCTTTGGCAAAGGATGAGACCTGTGTTGCTGAGAGCCTGGCCTGGGGGGCCTGTGTGTGCTGGGGCTGGGGTAGGCAGCATGGCTGGGGCACTCCTCACCGCTGCATTTTCCCACCAGCTTCAGTTCTCCCTGGATCCGGAACCCATTGCCATCAACTGCACAGCCTTCAATCACAATGGGAACCTGCTGGTCACCGGCGCAGCCGACGGCGTCATCCGGCTGTTTGGTAAGAAGGTTGCTTGTGGCAGTCCTAGCCCCTCCTGGGGTGGTCCAGAGAAGAGGGTTGGACTTTTGTTAGCTGGACTAGCAGCTGCTGCAAAACCCCAGCTGAAGGTGTTCCCGCTGGAGCCCAGGTTGGGTCAGAGGCTGCTGTTTGCAGAGCACCCGTGCTCGTCGGCTTCCCTGTGCTCATGTCGGTGGCCTTGGGGGTGGAGCTATAGCCCTGCAGTGCTAAGCTGTTGGATCTGGGTCCTCTGGGCCTGTGTGAGGTCCCCAAGGACACGAGTGATGATGTCCTTGTGGTACTAGCCATTCACCCTCCTTGCAGAGGCGTCAGAACCATCCGGCATGCCACTGAGAAATCCTCATGCCCGGGCCCTGCCCCCAAGAGATTAGAGTTGATGGGTCTGGCATGGGACCAGGGGCTGTGTCTTCAGGGCCACCTGGTGGGGGTTATAGAGGCCTCATGGGGAGGACTCAGTGCCCCTGAAGTTAGGGGCTCCCAGGTGATGTCCAGCTCCCCAGGGAGTCCTGACCCTCACTTCTCACTGAGCGGAAGTTGCTACTCCTGAGGCTTGGAGCAGCCTGGCCTCCGGGTGGGGTCAGCTCCCACCTGGCCGAGGGGCATAGCACCGCAGGCTGGGGTGGGGACTCCGGAGCTGGCAGGCCTCAGCGGCATCTCACCATGCAGACATGCAGCAGCACGAGTGCGCCATGAGCTGGGGGGCCCACCGCGGGGAGGTCTGCTCCGTGGAGTTCAGCTGCGATGAAAACACTGTGTACAGCATCGGCGAGGATGGCAAGGTGCGGGGGGTGAGGGCTCGGGTCGGGCTTCCTCCCTGGGAGCCCTGAGAGCACTGGGTGACAGACACTGGCCAGCCCTGGCCGTGCCGCTGACCCAGGTGACAGACGCTGGCTAGCCCTGGCTGTGCCCTGACCGGGTGGCAGATGCTGGCTAGGCCCTAACTGTGCCGTTGACCCGGGAGACAGACGCTGGCTAGCCCTAGCTGTGCCCTGACCTGGGTGACAGACACTGGCTAGCCCTGGCCGTGCTGCTGACCTGGGTGGCAGATGCTGGCCAGCCCTGGCTGTGCCCTGACTGGGTGGCAGATGCTGGCTAGGCCCTAGCTGTGCTGTTGACCTGGGTGACAGACGCTGGCTAGGCCCTAGCTGTGCTGTTGACCTGGGTGACAGATGCTGGCTAGCCCTGGCTGTGCCCTGACCTGGGTGACAGACTGTTTGGCTAGCCCTGGCTATGCACTTATCTGGTGACAGATGCCTGGCTAGCCCTGGCTGTGCCCTGACCTGGTGACAGATAGCTGGCTAGCCCTGGCCATGCTCCTGACCTGGGTGATAGATTGGGGGGCTAGCCCTGGCTGTGCCCTGACCTAGTGACAGATGGTTGGCTAGCCCTAGCCATGCTGCTGACCTGAGTGATAGACTGGCTGGCTAGCCCTGGCCGTGCCCTGACCTGGTGACAGTGCTGGCTAGCTTAAACCAGGACTATTCAGTTGAAGTTTAACCCTACTAACAGTAATGATGGCGGTGACTGTGATGATGATAGGAGGCACCTGAAGTATGCCCCTGCTTGAGACTGGGTGTCTGTACAGGGGCATGAGCCCACCTCTTCCCCTCCTGGGGCCAGGCCAGAGAGAAAAGAAAGGTCAGACTCTATTGGGAGGTTGCCAACTTTCTCTTCTATAAAAATGCTTCAAGTGTTGGGAAGAGATGGTCTTGGGGTGGCCCTGGCCCACGTATTTCTGCACCGTGAAGGTCAGGATGGGCTGGGTGGGAGTGTGTCCCTCGCTCCTCATGTAGGCACCTCTGAGATCGCCCTGGTTGTGCTCTGTGGCTGCAGTTCATCCAGTGGGACATCCACAAGAGTGGCCTGAAGGTGTCTGAGTCCAGCCTGCCCCCTGACGCCACGGGCCCCTTCGTGCTGTCCGGGTACAGCGGCTACAAGCAGGTGCAAGCCCCCAGGGGCCGGCTGTTCGCTTTTGACTCCGAGGGCCATTACATGCTGACATGCTCGGCCACCGGGGGTGTCATCTACAAGGTAATGGGCTGGGCATGGCATGGGGTCCTGGCTGTGGGGGAGCCTTCTGCTGGCAGGGACAGTGCCCAAGACCGTCGTGCAGCTGGGCTGGGCGGATCCACCTTGAGGAGAAGCCACAGGCAGAGCCCGAGTCCCCTGTCCTGCTCTGCTCGCCCGTCAGCGGCCAGACTTCTACTCTGTCCTGCCTCGGTTTCCTGGCAATAAAGACGCATCACAGAATGTGTTAAGGAGTAGGGCAGTGTGTTGGGGTGGGAGAACACGCCTCAAAGCAAGTGAATGCTGGGTGGCTTAGTTTGGTCACGCGCACGTGGCTGCTGACCAGAGGCAGGCAGTTCGAACCCGGCAGCTGCTCCTCGGGAGAGAGATGAGGCAGTCTGCTTCCTCAAGACTTAAAGCCTGAGAAGCCCCGTGAGACAGTTGTACTCTGGCCTATAGGGTCTCTGTGAGTCAGAACTGGCTCAGTGGCAGTGGGTTTTCTGGGTTTAATCTGGTATGAGGAGCCCTTTTGGTGAAATGGTTAAGTGCTTGGCTGTTCCCCAAAAGGTCAGCAGTTTAAACCCACCAGCCACGCCACAGGAGAGAGAGGCGCGGCCTGCTTCCTTCAAGATGACAGCCTTGGGAACCCTGTAGGACTTCACTGCTCAATTCTGTAGGGTCACTGAGTCGGAATCCACCCACTGGCAGCCGGCTGAGTCTGTTACGTTGTTGTTATGTGTGTTGAGTCAGTTCCGACTCACAGTGGCCCTGGAGGACGGAGTTGAACTGCTCCATAAGGGTTCCTAGGCTGTCATCTTTATGGGGATCTTCTCGGCTGCTGTCGAGAACTTAGCAGTTCACACCGACAGCTGCTCCTTGGGAGAAAGATGTGGCAGTCCAGATCTGGAAAGATGACAGCCTTGGAAACCCTATGGGGAGACGTGTCCTGTCCTCACAGGGTCGCTAGGAGTTGGAATGAACTCCATGGCAGTGGAATTTTTTGGAATCTTTATGGGAGCACATTGCAAGGTCTTTTATCCCACGGAGCCACTGGTGGGTTCAAACCACATCTGACCTTTTGGCAGCAGTTGTCTTAGTTATCCAGTGCTGTTACAACAGAAATACCACAAGTATTTAGCAAACAGAAATTCGTTTGCTCCCAGTTGAGGAGGCCAGAGTCAGAATTGTGGGTGTGGGCTCTAGGGTTGGCTCTCTCTCAGCTCTGGGGGAAGGTCCTCATTCCTTCCGCTGTGTTCCTGGTTCCCTGGACATCTCCGCGTGACTCGGTACTAATCTTCCCCCATCTCAGTGTCTTATAAGAGATTGACTGAACGCACACCCTCCACCAACCCTGCCTCACTAACACAGCAAGGACACCTCCACAAATGGGAATTCAAACAACTGCAGGTGCAGGGAGGGGTCAGGATTACAACACACATGTTGGGGGAGACAGTTCAATCCATAGCAGCAGCTGAGCACCTCACTGTTGTGTCATCAAGACCCCGAATCTGGTTAGGTTTGCTATTTCATCGGCAGTCAGGTTCCTGCAGTTCATGCTTGAGACAGATGCAGGCTTGGATTTGCAGTCAGATGAGCTGTAGACTCATTGAATGGGTTGAAAGATTTTCCTCTGACTAATTTCTTAAAAAGGAGCTCTGGTGGCATAGTGCCTAAGGCATTTAACCGCCTAACCAGAAGGTTGGGGGTTCAAACCCACCAGCTGCTCCGTGGAAAGAAGATGGGGCAATTTACTTCTGTAAAGATTTACCACCTTGGAAATCCAATGGGGGTCGCCGTGAGTTGGTATTGAGTCGATGGCACTGAGTTTGTTTGAATTTCGTAAATCTCAAGAATCGGGCTGATTTCTTCAGGGATGTAGTGGAATTCCGATCCCATTTTTACAACCTATAAACAGTTTTATTTATGATTTTAAACGTTTTCTCCACATAGTTTCTGGATGCTTCCATCAGCTTTCCTGTGCAGGCTGAGCACACCTCGTCTCTTACTCGCAGATGAGACAGGGAGTCATGCTGATGTCACAACCCCCTGGTTTCCCCTCTTAGAACCTTATTCTGACTGTTCCAAGTGGCTCTCACCGGCTCGTGGGCAGGATGGAGGAGAGCTGTGTGTGCACATTAACAGAGGGTCCCTCTAGCCAGGCCCTGCTCTGGGGGCCGCGAGCCGGCCGCTGCAGGACAGAATGGGCCGAGACCCTGCCCTGCGGAGTGTGTGTTCACACTCAGACAGACAGACTGATTTGATATATATTGACCTCGGGTTGGAAAGAACCTGGCATGGGTGGAGGGGCACTGACCCCCTGCAAGTAAAGGCAGAAGAGAACATTGTATGTCTTTTAAGGAGCTTTATGTGGGAGCTTATCAAGGGCTTGTTTCCCAGTTAAAAGGGAGGACTAATGGTGGTCAGGATAATGAAAGCATTTCCTGGTCTGAGAATTTAAATTAGACCATCTGGGAAGATGGGCATATGCACCTGGGCACACAGACTAGCATGTAGGCTTGTGCACCTGGGCTCGTAGATTATCTGCTAGGTGGGGGCTTACACCTGGGCTCTTAGGCCATCTGGAAGGTGGGCACATAACCCTGGGCTTACTGCTGTCTGGGGGGTGGGCCCGTGCACCTGGGCGCGCACTAGGCTCGAGCAGCGGCCTCATGCACAGCAGGTGGGCCCCGAGTGGCTGTGTGTGTTAGTGGTGGGCACTGATGCCTTCTTGTCTCTCTCTGCATTTACAGCTAGGCGGGGAGGAGAAGGTCCTGGAGAGCTGCCTGAGCCTGGGGGGCCACCGAGCCCCTGTGGTCACTGTGGACTGGAGCACGGCCATGGACTGCGGGACCTGCCTCACGGCCTCCATGGATGGCAAGATCAAGCTGACCACTCTGCTGGCCCATAAACTCTGACGGGGCCGCCTGCGGGGACCCGTGGAAGCAGTGTTACCTGGGCTGGGTGAGACAAGCAGAGAGAGGCAGGCCGCTCCACTCGTGGCGCCTGGTGGCGCGGGGCCTCTGCAGGGACTGAGTGCCCAGTGGGGACAGGAATGGGCAGCCCCAAGGAGCAGGTGGCCAGGATACCTGCTCCCCAGAGACGGCCTTCTGGGCTCTGTCGGCAGCGTGCTGTGACTTCAGTGGCACTTCGCTGTGACAGTCTGGAAGAAGGAAGAAATGTTACTTTGTCTGCTGTCATGGTCCGGGAGAGAGAACAGTATTCTGTATATATTGGCCCATTTTTCTTCTTTTTTAAAAAAGGATGTTGCCTTCGTGGTCACCTGGTGTCTCTGTGGGAGGTGTTAGGCCAGAGCATCTCCCTCCCCCTGGTCAGCTGGGAGCCCAGTGGGGACCCCCTGCCCTGGTGCCCGCAGCTCCTGGTCCTCTCCAGACACAGGGCTGCGGCCCCTGCTCTGTGGGGCAGCATGAGGACACGTCCAGAGCTGTTCTGTCCGCTGCCAACTGCGGCCTTGTCTGTTTCTGTGGACTCGGGAAGCCCCCGGCTTTCTTCCTCTTTCGTGAGACTCGGCAGCTTTTGTTACAGAAGCTTCTCTAGGCAAAGGTGGGGCCCAGGCTTTGGCTCCCAGCTGCCCTTCTCCACCCAGGGCTTCTGTTCCCACTCATTCTCTCAGTCTGACGTCCTAGAGGTTGAACAGAGCTGAGCGCCGGGCCCTTGCTATCAACGCAGAGGAACCAGCAGGGCTGTCCAGGAGCTGAGCTTGGGCTCAGGCCATTCCCAACTCATGCAGCTACGCCCACGGCCCTGGCCCTGGCTGGGCTGCACCTCCCTGAGGTGAGCAGGAACTCGAACTGCCCCTCCTCGTGCGTGTCACAGCTGAGGCAGGGAGCGGCAGCCTCTGCCCTAGGCCGCGTCGCTGGTGGGCTGGCCCACGGCTCCAACCCTGCAGGTCAGCCATGTCACTGTGTGAGGGAGGCTGCGGCTGGGGACTTCCAAGGGACAGTCATCACAGAGCCTCCACCTTGGGTTCCAGCCAGTCTGGGTGCTTGGCTGGAGTGAGGACCCACCCAGATACCACAAGTCAAACACCCAAACCCATTGCCGTTAAGTTGATTCCAACTCAGCGACCCCCATTGGGTTTCCAAGGCTGTAAATCTTTACAGAAGTAGATCATCTCATCTTCCTCCCACAGAACAGCTGGTGGGTTTGAACCGCCAACCTTGAGGTTAGCAGCCAAATAAATGCCTTACCCACTATGCCACCAGAGCATCTTCACGAGTGGGTAGCTTTCAAGAACAGACATGTACTTTCTCAGAGTTCTGGACACAAAAAGTCCACACTCAGGATCTTAGTTGTATCAGTGTCTTGCTGTACCCTGGGCATTGCTCATTCCCTTGGCTTGTAGACACTCCTTGCATGACGTGTGCTGTTCCTGGTGTGTGTCTGTGCCTCTTCTGGCCTCTTTGTAACTCAGAAACAATTAGGTTTAGCAGCCACCTTGCACTGATAGGATCAGCTGATTGATGACGTTGTGGGGAGTGCAGCATGGGAGATGACTGTGGTATGCTGCTGCTGTTAGCTGTCCACCCCAACTCATGGCGACCCTCTGCACGGGGCCGGGGTGCCAGTACTGTGGTGGGGAGGTGTTTGTGCAGCTTGATGACGGGAACAGTAGCAAGCAATTCCTTTCCCTTCTCACTCGCTCCTCCTCCCTCGGTGAAGAAAGCCAAGACTCTCCATGTCTCATTCCTGCAGCCTCCTGCGTGAACACGGCAGCCCGGGATTCTGCAGGATGTTTACAAAGTGGTCGTGGGTTCCCTGGTGGGAGGTGATTCCTTGTTTGGCCTTTCACCTCAAAGTCTCTTTGCCCACTCTGTCTCCTCAGTGTGGTCTCCACAGCTTGTGGAAATGTCATTAAGGGTAGTGGCCATTCACAGGCACATAACAGCAGGTCTCCTCTCATTTTCTTCTGTGTCCCCCACCCTTGTTCTGAGCTGAAGGCAAAGCTGGATAATGAGGATGGTGCTGCCAGGAGGGTTGAGGGGGTCACGTGACACTTTATGTTGCCTGGAAGCACCTCCTTTAACTTCTGACC